GAGAGAGAGAGAGAGAGAGAGAGAGAGAGAGAGAGAGAGAGAGATCTATAAAAGCCTCGCTCCCACGCAGCTCGCGCTCCCCGCGCGTGCTCCCAGCCCGCAGCTTCAGCTCGCGGAACTTTGCCTCCGAAAATTATCCAAACAGCGTGTTTGTCCAAGTCTCTGCGTGCGTGTCCGTGTGTGTGCGTGCGTGCGTGCGCTCCGTGGAAACTGACACCGTCCCCAAAATGGCTTGTAGTTCGACCGCCCCGCTCGGGTCACGTGGTCTCCTTGCTTAAGGGCGTCGGATTTACTGTCGGTGTAACACAGAAGCTGAGCAAAGCCACCGACCCCGCGGAGCAGCAGGCAGCGGGTGGGTTTGTGGCGTGAAAGTGACGCACAGTCTGACGTTCGGCCACTTTGCGTCACAACAGCGCCTCTTTTTTATATSAAAGAGCGGATGGTCACAGTGCGCCCTGTGATCAGAATAAGCCCGTCAGACAGAAGCAGGGCTGCAGCTGCCGGCTTTAATCTGCTCCAAGACCTGACCTGACTGTCAGGAGCTCCGCGCGCAAGAAAAATATAAAAAAAGTGCGCCACAACATCCAGGATTCACTTAATCCCGCGCGCAGAGGCGCATCTCCGCGGCTCCATCTGAGCAGCTTAGAGTCAGCTGAGGATGGAGAGATTACAGGTTTCTGCAGGGGCTCAAATTCCTGCCAATTAAAACAAAAACTCTCATCATCTGCTGCTTCCAGACCTGAAAGCTGAGCCACAACAACCAATCAGCTCTTTTTACTTCTTCATACAAGTTTTATTTTGCAAAGTGGGAAAAAAAACATGAACAGGAAATCACAGGACTATAAAAAAATAAAAATAAACAAAGAGGAGCTGTTGTTGCTGCGTCACATCTGGCTGGCTCTGTCCAAACTCTTGGCTGCGTCCTTTAACTTCCCCACCAGATCCTGGAGAGCACAGAAAAATAAATAAAATATATAAAAACAATTAGTTTAGTGTGAAAATAAAGACAAAGAGTTTAACACAAGCCGTGCGTTAACTGTTTACACCAAGAAAACAAAATTCTTTTCAAATATCTTTTCATCTGCAGTTAATCCGCGCTTTAACGTGGCGTTTTATTTTGAAGGGCAACTTCCCGACAGCAGCTTTATTTATGCACAAAAAGGGGAATTTCAAACGCGCGTTTTTCTTATTTGATTTTATTTTTATTTTTGCTGGGAGACCTGTATAATCCAGCAGCAGCTCAACAAATGGGACTTTTTCTCTCCAGATCTGATCCGTTTTTACCTGCAGCTGCTCCGTGGTGCAGGTGAAGCTGAGCTCCTCTGAGGCTCCTGGACCCTAAAAGAAGAAGGAGACACGCGGGTTGGAGCAGCATCCACGCAACATTTTACTCTCTTTAAGTTCATTTTCTGCATCATCTCTTCCACACGATTAACTTAACGAAACCCTAAAATTTGATTTTTAAACAGTTTTCTAACTTGAAGTGCAGCAGCTTAAATCTGTCTTCAGAGAATATAAAAAACTAAGATTATTTTTGCTTTATTTGAAAACATATTTGACCCAAGAGTTTAAAACTTAAATGTGTTGATTTAAGCTATAGATGAAGAATGCTGAGTCTATTTGTCAATGCTGTGTAAAAGCCTCACATATACAGATGAAAATACTTTATTTAAAGCCCACTAAGATATATTAGTGATTTGTTAATCCAGTAAAAAAAAAATAATCCCTTAGGTTGTTTGCTGTTACCTCAGTGTTGAGTGAAATCAGGTAGAAAGGCTGGTTGACTTTATCCAGCTGTTTGTTCTGACAGAGAAAGAACATTTTAAGAGTCCGACAATGACTAAAAATATGAAAAATAAATAAATAAAYGAGGATTTTAATGCAAATATACCTTAGTGTTGTATTGGAGGCGCCACGAAACATCATTAATCTGAGCGGGACGTCTTCCTAAACTACAACAGAGAGAAAAACAAATCTTTTGCTTCAAATGGAGAGATTTGGAGAGTTTGTATACGATGTACTGCTGAACTTTTCCCCTCAGTTAAACAAAGACACAGTTATAAACTGAGCACGCTCTCCTGTGAGATGCAAGTCGTTTATTTTTAAACGTGATCGATTCCAGAAATCCTTTCAAGATGTTTTGAAACCCACAGCGGGGTCCCGACCCCGGCTTTGGAACCACTGCTGTTAATTATTTTGTGTCTGGAAGAATTTGCCTCCAAAATGCAAAAAATATAAAAAATAATTAAAATAAAAAAAGACAAAGCGAGTGCTGGATTTGAATCATTCAGTCCCTTTTTTTTTATTCTGAGATTCTTCTTCAGACTCAAGTTAATAGTAAACATCTGAACCGTGGTGGAGCTTATGGGTTGTAAAAAACACAACCTGTGTGTGAAAAAACACACAACAGCCCAAAGATTTATAGTTGTTTTCTCCAATGATTTTATGTCAAACCATATTTCATACAAAAAAAATTAAAAATAGGAAAGCTCGTCTGTTTCTAAGAGTCTGAATCAGAAMCTTAAAGCTGCAGCTCAGTGATCTATATAAAATCACAGTTAAAAGTCAAAAACACTCAATTATCTGTTAAGAAATTTTAATTTTAATCCCCAAACTAACACGTCCACGCTCCTGTTTTATCCCCGAGTCGTGTTTATTATGACCACAAAACACCTGAACAGAAAACTAAAGCATTCTTGAGATGAAATGATCCAAGAAGAAGAAAATCTTTATTATTTTATTTCCACGTTCCTCTGGTTCAAACCTTACCTGGCCAACAGACGCTCCAGTTCTTTCTTGTGTTTCTGTAAAACACCCACGGGCTCACGTCAGTTCAGTTCCTGTTAAATATGTTTATATATGATACAGAACAGCATGACGGTGGTACCTGATAGCTGCTGTAGAATATTTCTATTCTTTCTGCGCTGAACGTCAGCTCCTCCAGRCTGGAGCTGCAGGACAGAAATAAACAAATACTTTGAGGTTTTTGTCCTGAACCAACAATGCATTTTCCTCTTTTTAATCGTTAAGCTTTGCCATCATTTTAGACACAAACGAGGGGAACAAAAAGAAAAGAAGGGAAATAATGCAGAATTTTTGGTGTCTTTATTAGAACTGTCTTTAGACTTCGTGATTCACTCAAACCCTTAAAACTCTGTAGTTTCACCCTTTTTTAAGCTCGTCTCCCCAAATCCACTGCTGGTTTTCACCAGGCTATGAATCCACCACAGCTTGTTCTTTTTGAATCAAGGACAAAAACTAATTTAAAACAAGCTCTTCTTTCTTAACGATCAGCTCTAAAACTCGTCTGTGGACTCAAACATTTTCAACATTTTCATTTAAATCTGAGCCGCTTCAGTCGCTCCTCAGATGAGAAGTGAAACGTCTCAAACAAACAAGCAGAAAGTCTAAAACTAAATGTTTGATTTTAGAGTCATTTTAGTTTTTATAGCTCTTAAATCTCAAAGTTAAAATGGAACGACTACAAAAAGAGTTGTAAAGTACCAATACTTAATTATTTTTCACTCCACTTTTTACTTCTTCTCCTTATATCTAAAAAAAGTAAGTAGTTGAATATTTTAGTTTGTCGTTGTTGAAATAAAAATTGCACGTTTCAGTTAGTACTCGATCCATCACACCTGAGCTCTGCTCGTAGGTACATGGCGATTAAATGTAACAAAAAAATGTATAAATATTTATTTATCACCATTAGTATCAGCCTCATTAATAATTTGAGATAAGTCCAAATAAACTAGTAAATTTACCTGCAATTGCTCTTGATGTCTGCAATGCAAATCACACCTTGGGGACAATAAAGTTTATTCAAACTGATTTAATGACACAGATCCTGTCACACAGCAGAACATATCAGATTCATGAATTTATTGCATGAATTAAATTTTTATCACTATAGTCA